GCTGACAGTGGGGTCGGGTTTCCTCCAGAGGTATGGAGGGGAGGATGGGGATGACCACAGATTAGGAGGCTTATGTTGGTGGTGCAGGAGAGTGTAGGTTAGGCAGCACTGGATAGGCAGTCTGGCTCTCTGAAGAAGTTAGGAAATAGGAGGAGGAGAGTTAGGTACACACAGGTAGCAAATCCCATCCTTGGAATCTGAATGGAGCGGTGGCGATGAGTAGAAGCTGTCATAGTCAAAGGAGAGATCCCATTCCAAGCAGGAGCCACATTTTGACTCCCTCCTATCCTAGGGAGTAGGACCTGAGTCTTCTAAGGAGCCAGGCAACCTTGTAGGTTATAGTTGGGTTAACGTAAATATAGTTTTATTTCTCTTTTTCCTTGTCAGTGATTCCATCTGTATCCTAACCCCCTCTGAGGGACTGAGTCTCATCTGACTGGGGGCTCCCTGAGGACGGGGTCTGGGTCTCCTCCTTCCTCTGGCTCTCTCTCTATCCCAGACCCTCTCCACAAGGGATGTTCCAAACACAATAGGGACAGATGGATTGACTGATTCCCCTGAAAGTGTGGGAGGTTCAGTCAGAGCTACAGAGCTTTGCCATCAGAACTTTTTCAGAATCTACCAGCAATATCCCCATCTCTCCTTTCTCATCTCCCCTCCCTCCAGCATGCCAGCACAACAGCTCAGGAAACTAACTGGGCAACAGCCATATAGCCTTAGAATATCGGTGTTGGAAAGGACATTAGAGATATTCTAGTCCAGACATCTCATTTTACAGGAGGAGGAAACCAGAGCCCAAAGAAGGGAAAGTGGCTTGCTCAAGGTTACATAACCAGTGTGTGGCAGAAGGGGATTCGAACCCAGGTCCTTAGATTCCCAGTCCTGTCTTATTCATTTTTATCACATCTCTGAAAGTGATGGGGGAAAAAGGAGGAAGCCAGACTTTTTCCAGAGGGAGAAGCTGAGCCCCTTAGAGATGGAAAGACTAGTTCTTGGGAGTAGATCAGAGAAGGGAACTCCCCAGCGGTCTCGGACACAGGCACTCCTGAGAATGGGGGGTAGGTGGAGGGGTTTTGGGGAGAGGGTGAGTTTGAGTTATTCTGACCAACAGAAGGAAGCAGGATTGTAAGGAAAGCAGGACAGAGGAAGGTAGAAGTGACTCCTTGTCCTTAATTATATCCCTGATGGAGGCTATGGGGACTCAGAAATGGAACCCACATCCTTGGCCAGCTCAGGGATGGAGGACAATGAGGTATGAAGTCTTTGCTTCTTGGGGATCAAAGAAGTTGCTTACCCCTTTCTTAAGCTCTTCACAGAGCCCCTCTAGGACCCCAAGCCTCTGACACCCCACCTTCCTGCCATGCTGCTTTGCTCACCCTCCAACACCCAGCCTGGCAGTCCAACCGCTCTTTCCACCCCCTTCTCACTCCCTGCTCTTATTGGTGAGAATTCACCATGTCTATGCACCTCCAGACCCACCATAATGGCCTCAGGCCATCTCTGTGTCATGCTGCTCATCCCCATTCCCTTGTGTTTTGGAAACCAAAAGCATGTCAAGAATACCCTTCCTGGAAAGAAGTCAGTCACTCACCCAATGTCTCCATTCAACACCTCTGTGACTATCTGGCCCTCTATGTGTGGTTTTCCTTCACTGGAATGTAAATTTTTTGAGGGAAGGGATCTTGCTTCTTGTATTTGAATCCCCAGCATTTAGCAAGGTGCCTGGTATGAAGTGCTTAATACATTTTTCATTCATTCATTCATTCATTCATTCATTCATTCATTCATTCATTCATTCATTCATTCACCACTCACCCTCAGCAAGCTAATTGGAATCATTTAGAGTGCCCTCCCCTCATTCTGCTTTCTCCTCTTCAACACTGACATCAACAAAGGCTGTGAGGGAAGACATCTCCTGGCTGATGTGGAGAGGAACTAGAAAGCTGGACTTTTGGGTCCAAGACAGCCTCGCTCTGTGATCATGATGGACAAACCTGAGTGTCGCTAGAGCTCTGTTCTCAGCATCATGAGGTTTAGCAACAGAAGGGACTTTAGTCGGAGAGTGCATGGGATGTGTGTGTGTGTGTGTGTGTGTGTGTGTTGTGTGTGTGTATATATATATATATATGTATGTGTGTTGGGAGATAAAGTGAATCATAACTAATCTTCATAGTATTTGGAGAGGGTATTGAGGGAATACAAGTTAAAGGAAGTGAAAGTTGAGATTTTTTGATAAGACCTTGGTTGTTCTGCTTTCCAGGTATATATACAAACACACACACACACACACATACATATAAGTATATGTATATGTGTATGTGTGTATACATACATACATACATACATATATATATAGGTACCTGAATATGCCTTTTTGACTCCTGTCTCCTTTCTGGGCCTCAGTTTCCTCATCTGTAAAATGAGAGGACTAGATAAGGTTCTTCTAATGTTCCTTCCTTTTCTTTAAATCTTTGATCCTGTGATCTTCTTCCCCCATTACACCCTAAACTTGGAGTCTCATGTCCTGGGTTATTTAGGATGGCTGTTGGGTAGGCCTCTCAGATTGAACCCCGAGCAGGGATGGGCTGAGCTGGGAGTCCCACTTTGAAGCCCACACCAAGTTGCATGTTCTGATTTGGTCTGCAGGTTCAGGGTTCAGAGGGCCCACTTCATCCTGAAAGTTAGCCCTCTCCACTGTCTCTGAGACCTTGCCTTCCATCTTGCTTCTGTGAGTGTGGAGGTGCAACATTGCCTTCTCAGAGAGACACATTGTAGGGGAAGAGGTTAGATCCAGGTCCAAAAGGCATTGGATGGAGGGTGAAGATGAAACCCCAGAATTTCAGCTCCCAGTCTCAGGGTTTTGGCTCACCACCATTTTGTTGAAATCCCATAGATAAACCCTTTTATGTTCCTACTTTCTCTTCCTTTCTTCTCTCACCCTGCCCCTTCTCTGCCTTTCCTCTCCTCTCCCCACCCTACCACTCCAGGAAAATAATCAGCAGGTTCAGCGGTCTCTGACTCCAGGGTCTCCACCTTCCCAATCTTTCTCAGTCAACAAGAGCCCAAGCCTAGGAGGGTGGCCATCCTGCAGAGGCCTGGTGGGTTGCCATGGCAACCCAGAGCCTCCCGGCCCCACCGCAAGGGCCCCTCTGAAAAATTTATCAGGAAAACTTCCCTCTTTAAAAATTAACATCAGAATTGAAATATTAAAGACAAGCTTCTTCAGGCAGGAGTGGGGAGAGGGGAACTGAATGCTAAATTTGGGTGTGGAGGGGGTGCTGTATCTTTAGCAAGATAACTCCTTCTCCCCTTTTCTTTCCCTAGCATCTCATCTCATCCCACTGTTTCCCAGGGATACTACCACCCCTTCCCCCACATCTTCCTTCCTGAGATTGTAGCCCCAAAGATGTATTCCTGTTATACTCGGCCAGAGGACCTCAAAGCACTGTATGTGGGAGACAGAGGTGGAGATTGAAGGCTGGCCTCCTAACTATAAATTGAGGCCTAAGTTGGGGGGGGGAGGTGAGACCCAAGGGGTCTCTAGTGGTAAAAAGAACAAAACCCCAGATTTCTTGTTCCCAACCACAGGGCCTTGTCTCATTATCATTTTGCAGAAGTTCCAAACATAAGTCCCCCCCATACATACCTCAGTTGGGTTTTCCTTTATACTCTCACCTGTACCATTTCAAGAGCTCTTTGCTAGTCTCACTCTCCCCCCACCCATAGTTTAGTGACTGAGAGTAGGGAGGCCACATTCCTACATCCATTTATCAGTTTTGCCTGTCTTGGTGGAAGGCAATTTGTACCTCTTTGCACCATGGAGCCATAAGTCACAGACAGGTTTCTGGGTGCTTTGAGATCTTCCTTGGAGCTCTTCAGTTGGGGTTGGGGTAGGCAGATCCACACCAACTTTGTTTCTAGGTCCTGAGCTTGCACTATTTCCTTGTCCTTTCCTAGGGGCTCCTTTCCCCTTCTGTCCCAACAGTCCCCTTGGGTCATTGACTCTTCACCCATACTCATTATCCCTGGAACCCAGGTCCTCATAATAACCTGGACTGTGAGACTGCTGACCCTGCATGGAGCCATTCGAAGCGGCTCTCTTTACTGGCCCAGACTATGGGAGCTTTGGGCGATCAGCCTGCACCCTGAGGAAAGTGGGGAGAGTGTGCCCTCGGACACTTCTTCAGGGAGTGCTTATGTCAGGGCATCTCTGGTGCCCAGGCCTTAGGGGAGAGTGGTGCCAAGCACTCAAACTGGCAGAAGCCTGCCAGCAGATTGCAGCTGCCTCTCCCCCTGCCCCTGGAGGCGTCTGTGGCTTGAGGCCCAGGCTGCTGCGGGGGTTGGCTCTTCCATTCTTCCCCCTCCTTCCCGCCTCTCTACTCTACTCCTCAACCCAAAATGAGGCCTTAAATAGGAAGAACGGAGAGGGGGCTCCCCACATCTCCCAGGTTGAAAGGAAAACAACTTTCCTCCGTGGACTGAGCACCACCAGTTCCCCTCCATCCCCTGCCCCATGCACATGATACCGAGTCGTTGAGCCCAGGGTTGCACCTGTCCCCTTCTCCATCACCAAGTTACCCCACCCTCATCTCACACTTGGTGATGGCGGATGGTGCCCTCCTTTCCTAGCCTGGTCCCCTGCCCAAAGTCTCAGTTCTTCAATCCCTCTTCTTTTAAAGGGATTGCTCCATTTCTGTTGCCCTGCTATTCCCTGTTCTTCCATCCCCTGTTCTTTCACGCTCAGATCTCCCCCTCCTTAGCCCCCTCCCATCCACATGTCCTTCTACCACCTTCAGTTACTCTTATCCCAAACTTAGATTTTCCTTGCCCAGGATCCCAAGTCTCCCTCTATATAGGTCTGCCCTTCAAAAGGGCCTATCCCCAGCTTTGTCCTACATCCAAATTCTCCCTCCGTCCCTCTCAGGTGGTCCCATCCCCAGGTCTCCCCCAGCTTCCCCCTGGCTCAGTCTGGGGCTAACTCCTGCACTCTGCCTTCTCAGCCTGTCCACCTGGCCCAGGTGAGCTTCCTCATCCCTGCCTTTGGTTTGAACTTCACTTTGGACCTGGAGCTGAACCAGTGAGTGAGTGTGTGTGTGTGTGTGTGTGTGTGTGTGTGTGTGTGTGTGTGTGTGTGTGTGCACGCGTCAGGGGGTGGGAGGGAGTCGGGATGAGTTCTAGGCAAGGATCCTGGAAAAAAAGACAGGAGGCTAGAGCTGGGGGATGGGGTGGAAGGATGGGCTTGGGGGCGGGGAAAGGGGGCTGGATGAGAGAAGAGTGGGGAGATGGCCAGTGGGCTGAAGGAGGGGACAGAGTGGGTGGGTGTCTGTGGGTTTGGGAGAGGGATCTGCTCTGCTGGGACCAAAGGAGAAGGTAAAGATTAACTGAACTCCTCACCCATCACTTCCTCTGTCCTGCTCCCACCTTGCTACCTCTTGGTCTGGCTTCAGTCACCTCCTGGCTTCACATTATGTGGAACGACACTTCAGCAGAGATGGGACCACCCAGCACCACACAGTGAGTGGACATGAATGGGAAGAGGTGGGGCTGGTGGGGTAGAAGTTCCGGGAATATAAAAGGTGGGTTGGGAAGAGGAAGGAAGGTCAGAAAGGAGGAGACATGAAGGTAAATGAGGTCATTGAGATACTCCAATTTCTGGCATTTGTTAGTTCTCCTCATCTTTATCTGCCCTTCCTCTCCTCTCCCCCCATCCCCAATTACTTCAAAAGCTCCCTGTAAATATTGGGCTTGGAGTCAAGAGACCTGGTTTTGAATTCCAGATCTGCTACTTACTAGCTATGTGACCTTGGGCAAGTCACTGTGGGCCTCAGGCTCCTCATCTGAAAAAGGAGGAGGTGAACCAGATGACCTCTGAGGTCCCTTGCATCTCTAAATCTATAATCCAATGCCTTCTCTGTGCCTTAATTTCCTTATGTGTAAAATTATACACACACTAAGAAGAGATTGTGGTTAGGAATGAGTTTTGCAAACCTTTAGAGTGTTTTAGAAATGTGAGTTATATGGACTGTGCTGAGAAGGTGGGGAGAAGAAAGATGGCAGGGAAAGAGGGTACGTTCTTTGGGGATCCTAGGAACCCGGGCTTTCTGGCTCCTCATTCTTTGGATCACAGGTCTGTCAAAGTCTGGGATTAGCATGTTGTGTGAGGGGAGGGAGAGGCAACAGTGGAGAAGCATGGGATTTGAATCCTGACTACTACTTACTGCCTGTGTGACCTTGAACAAGTCACTTCTCATCACTCCAGGCCTCAGTTTCCTTATCTGTAAAATGGGGAGATTCACTAGAAGATCTCTAAGGTCCCTACCAGTTCTAAATCCATAGCCCTGTGATCCTATGAGCAGGATGAGGCATCAGGAAGGGTAGAGGAAGGAAGGTCCCATCATCCTTCTGGACTTTAAATATAGCTATAGCTCTGTCTCCACATCTGGAGTGGCCCTATGACTCTGTTGGTGATGGGAGCTGGTTATAGTAATTGAAGAAACATCCTCAGTTCACTTCCTGTCCCTTATCATCAGCCATCTTTTGCCAAGTCCCACTAGGACTTTATGGCTGTCCTCAGGAATACCTGGACTCTGTCCTCCCACCTCAGTTGCCAAAGGGGCCTGGGCAGAGATGAATGAGTTTCTATAAATAACCCACTCCTCTCTTCTCCTTAGGCAGTTTCAATAACTGGGGCAGAAGTAATTTCCCATGAAGTGAAAGGATTGGGGGGAAGGGGAGAGCTGGAGACAGGAGGAGCTACGGGGGGGGGGGTTCAACCCACTGCCAATGAGCCAGGAATGGGCTACAGCCTGGAGAAGCCCCTTTATAGAATCACAGCATTTGAGAGATATAAGGAATCTCAATGACCATCTAGTCCATGGTATCAAAATGCAAACAGAAACAGCTTCATATTGACTTAGAAAACCACAAATTAACATTATCAATGTTTTATTGTATTTTTATTTATTTTTGTTAAACATTTCCCAATTGCATTTTAATCTGGTTTGGAAGGCCCTCAAATTGGACAAATCCAGTCTTGTCCAATGCATGCACAGAGGCAATCCCCTCTATAACATACCCCAACCAGTGGTCTTCCAGAGTCATCCTTGATTGACACTCAGATGGAAGAGACAGAATCCCAGCATTCTCTCCCCTTACATAGCTGTCACTCTAGTCCAGGCCCTTATCGCTTCTTTCCTGAACTATTATAATAGCCTCCTAATCATCTGCTAGTCTTCCTACCTCCATTCCCTCCTCTCGCAGCCCAAATCACATCACTGTCCTGCTCAGAAATCTTCAGTAGCTCCCTATTGCCCTAGGATAAAATATAAATTAAACTCCTTAACCTGGCATTTGAGATCCTTCACAGTTTGATTCTAGACTATATTTTTGTCACCTTACCTTGTAGCCTGGTTACCTGTGTTCTATCTCTCTTATTATATCTTTTTTGTGTGTGTGTGTGTGTGAGGCAATTGGGTTTAAGTGACTTGCTCAGGGTCACACAACTAGTAAGTGTCAAGTGGCTGAAGTCGAATTTGAACTCAGGTCCTCCTGACTCCAAGGCGCCACTAGCTGCCCTCTCTTATTATATCTTAAACCCCTCAAGGACAGGGACTGGCATTTTTCATCTTTGTATGTCCAGTTCTAGATTGTGCCTTGAATGTAGTAGGAACTTAATAAATGCTTGTTAGGTTAATCTGAAAGACCCTTAGGCCATCTGATGAAGTCTAGGTACCCCTTCTCAGAATAATCTTCCTAAATGCCCAAAGTAAAATACAAAGGCATACAAAGGAAACCAATTCAACTGAAATATAATTATCAAAATATTCACTAAAAAAGGGACATAAGGAGGCACTGTGTGACTCTGGGCAAGTTACTTAACCTTGACTGCCTCCAAAAAAAAAATATTCATTAAAATAAGTTTACAGACCCCAGGCTAAGAACTCTTGATCTAGTCTAATCTTCCCATTTTACAGGCAGGTGGGGGCCAGAGATGACAGATAACTTGTTGGAGGACACAGTGAGTTAGCAAAGCAGAGGTCTGAGCTTAGGTCTCCTTTCTCAAAGCCAGGGCTTTGGGCCACAGAAGTGCCTGTGCTGAGCCACCAAAGGGATGTGGCTGGACTATAGGGATCCTTGTAGCAGCCACCTTATTCATCCCGATGGCCCTGTGAGGTGATGCCAGGAGAGGGGAGCCCAAAGGAGGCAGGCAGAGCAAAGACATAACTAACCCCCCTGGCTCTGTGGTTATTTCAGGGGGCTGGGGACCATTGTTATTACCAAGGAAAGCTTCGGGATAACACAGAGTCCTTTGCTGCCATCTCTACCTGTCAAGGACTGCAGTAAGTATTGGTGCCTCAGGGCACAGTTGGGGAACCCTTCAGATTCCGTTTGACCACTTCCCCATTCCCTGGGACAAGCTGTGGGCAGGTGAGGAGGTGGGGGGATGGTGGGAACTAATCCTTTCTCCTCTTACAGTGGAGTCTTCTCTGATGGAAATTTCACTTACACCCTTGAGCCCCAAGAAGCACCCCAGGTAAGGCAATGTCATCCAGTAATTCCCTCCTACCCCCAGGCACCCGCCTTTTGAGGTCTCAGCTCTACTTACTCTTCCCATAAATACTAGGGACTACCATTCTTCCCCTGGAGGGGCAAGCTAGCCTTTTCTACCCCACCCCATCCTCCAATAATGCAGCTCTTTCTTTTCCTTCCTTTTCCTTCCTGTCACCCCAGTCACAGTCAGGTAACCTCAGCTACAGCATTCCTGCCTGTCCCCCCAGTAACCTCAGACCTGACTCCAATGTCCTTACCTCCCTCCCTCCCACCCCCATCTCCTGGTACCTGTCCCCCAAGGTCCTGACCTCGGAACCTGAGGAGCCAGTAGATTGGATCTGACATACTGACATGGGAGCCTTGGCTGTTCACCTCTGGGTGGGGTTAAGGGCAAGGGAAGAGGGAAATACCAGAAGCTCCCCTTCGGGCTTCCTCTGCTAGTCCGCCTCTGTTTCCCTGGAGTAAGAGGGTCCAGAGTGGGCTGACTCCTCCCTCCTCACTGCAGGGGCCTCTCCCCCACCTCATTCATCGGACCTCTCTTCTCCCAGTCCCTGGATGCAGGGAACCAGGTGAGGCAGAGGGAGTGAGGGGGAAAGTGGGGGGGGTGAGGGGAAGGGAGGGAGGGGATCTGGGTTGGACCTCTACCTGCCCTCCCTCCCCTCAGGTTGTTTGTTTGCTGCTCCTTCACTTCCTGTTCCACCGGCCCTGCCCAGGCTGAGAAGGAAAAGGCAGGTATGGGGCCCATGGAAACCTCAGGCTGCAGAATCCTCAGGTTTCAGACTCAGGCAGGAGGAGCCTGCAGCCTCGGGGATCCTGACAAGCATGGCCTGGGGCCTCCGACTTTATATGGGGGAGCGGGTACCCGTCCCATTTCGCATGGCAGCCACAACCTGCCCATTCCTGGGCCCGTAGCCTCCCCAGCTTCCCTGCCCACCCATCTGCATGAGTTTGCACCTGCCCACAGGTGTACTCCCACTGTAAATGAGATCATTAAATGCTTTGCAGGCCAAAAGCATGACCTAAGGATCTGCTATGTTGCATCCAGCATGCAGAATATCAGGCATAAAGCAGACGGGTTCAGAAAGATGCACGAAGGGGCAAAATAAACCAAGCCATTAGGATGGGATGGGGAGGAAGAGGGTGCCATATGATATTCTTGCCTTGAACTCAGAATGAGCTAGCTCCCTCTCGTGCTGTGTTCCTCCCAAGAAATTCTAATCCCCCAGTCCAGGAAAGCGAATGCAAGGCCTGTGGGAGTCTAGAATAGGCATTCTTAATCCTTGTGTATCAGGGACCCCACTGGCAGTCTGGGGAAATTTATGAACCCTTTCTTGGAATAATGTTTTAAATGCAGAAAATCAAATATATAGAATTATAAAGGAAACCAAAGATTACTTTTAAAAAAAATAGCTAGAGTTATTTTCACATCTAAGTTCACGGACTTCTTAGGTTCCATGGACCCCAGGTTAAGAATCCCTTCTCTACAATCTGTAGTTCCCAATTTACCATCTGTAAGTTTCCCAGCTGGCTGGAGGCCCTAGGTTCTTTGGGACTTAGAGCTTCCAGTGACCTGGGCTCAGCTCTCAGGGAGGGAGGACTACAGCTGCCTTCTCACCTGCCTCTTACCCCCGACCACACCCCCAGGTCCGGCGTGGCCACTCCACCGTCCACAGTGAGACCAAATATGTGGAACTCATTGTCATCAATGACCACCAGCTGGTGAGTTTCTTGGGTCGGAGGCAGCGATTAGGGTGGGCTCCAGGTATGCAAGGAAAGGCGAGGGCTGGGGAGGGCTGAGAAGATGCTGCCCTCTTCTGGACATTCTCCCTCCCCCAATCTCTCCTACCTGTTCCTCTCTCTCTCTTTCTCTCTCTCTCCTTTCTTGCTGTCAGTTTGAGCAGCTTCGTCAGTCTGTCGTCCTTACCAGCAACTTCGCCAAGTCTGTGGTGAACCTGGCTGATGTGGTAAGCAGTCCCTGTCCCCACCCCTGACGTGATGCTCTCCTTCCTCCCAGCCCCGCAACCTGCAGCTTCTCCCCTTCACTCCAGACAGGACCCTATCTCTGCATCACGGAACACTAAGCTGGACATAAGGATGCCTGCAGGTCACATGTTGCCTTAGAAAACCACATATTAGTATTATCTGTTTTACCATATTTTTATTTATTTTGCTAACTATTTCCCAATTCTATTTTAATCTGGTTCTGGTGTACTTGGGAGTGTTGCAGGGTATAATGGGGCCTTGTGTTTGACACCCTTCTCCCAGTCAGCCTCTAGTCCTATCCATGGCACCCTTTGACTCCCTGTCTAGCTCCCTTATCACTACCCAGGGTTATGAGTGAAATAATAGTAAATGCTTATGTAGCACTTTAAGGATTGTAAAGTTCTTTGCATGTTACCTCATTTGATCCTTACAACAACCCCATTTTACAGATGAGGAAACTAAGGCTGAGAGCAGTTAAATGACTTGCCTAGGGTCACATGGCCTAGAAGCACCTGAGGCAGGATTTTATCTCGGGTTTTCCTGACACCAAGGCCTGTGTACTCCATGCTTTACACCACCCAGGCTCCTAGAGTGAACAAGGACTGAGATTGTCTAGGGGCTGTGGTCTCTGGAGTGACTTCAGAGTTTTTGCCCTAATTTCAGTCTCTCTCAGCCAGCCATATCACTCCTTGCTCCAAATGGAACAGAGGAGTAGGACTTATCTCCCACTTTACAGAGGAGAAAACAGACCCAGACTACATAAAGAAGCTGGAGCTTTGAAGGCTCAGCTAGGTCTCTGGCCCTTGCTGCAGCCCTACTCCCTTGGCCTTTTCCTGGCCTGCTACCCTTTTGGCTTGCCCCAGGATAATAATAATAATGATGATGATGATGATGATGATGATAATTAGCATTCGTAGAGCTTTAAGGTTTGCAAATATGATCTCATTTTATCCATACAACAAAATTATCCCCATTTTACAGATGAGGAAACCAAGGTAGAGAGAGGTTGTGACTTACCCAGGGTCACACAGCTAGTGTCTGGGACAAGATTAGAATTCAGGTCTTCCTGATTACAGATCCACCCACTGGGCCACCTAAACCATTCTTTTCTTCTCCCTCCCCAGCTGTACAAGGATCAGCTTAACACTCGAATTGTGCTGGTTGCTATGGAAACATGGGCGGCCGGTGACAAGATCCAGGTACAGGATGACCCTCTAGAGACCTTGGCTCGACTTATGGTCTACCGGCGGGAGGGACTACCTGAGCCCAGTGATGCCACACACCTCTTCTCGTGAGATTCCTTGCCCCACCCCATTGACCCCCCCTTCCTTTCCTGGTGAGAATTCTTCCCTCTCTCCAGACCCTAGAGGGGTCCCCTAGACTCCCAGAACCTCCTGGGAACAATGAGACAGGCCAGTCTATCCCAGACTCACATGGTACCCCCTGTCTCCTAGGTTCCCTTCAGTTATCCCCACTGAACTCCTGGGTTCCCTCTCAATAACCCCTGAAGATAGCAAGCCTCCTAGCAGCTCCAGGAAATAAGCTGATCTGCCAGAGGGGCCAGGAGCCAAGAATGAGACCTGGGAGTGGGAAGAATGCAAAGGGAAAAGGAGTAGCTTCTCTCAGGCTTAGCTTGATGGTGCCATCCCCCATGGCTCTGATTTGTATTCTGCTCCTACCTTTATCTCTGTCCAAAATGTGGAATCTTTGTAACCCCACCCAGTCCTTCTCTAGAAAAGCCCTCTCCCTCTCTTCCTTTTGGTGTCCTCTCCCCAGCATCTTTGGTCAGAGATTTCCCTGTCAGCTGGGAGCTAAATCCTTGTTCACCTTCTGAGTGACACCTGCTCCATCACACTGGCGGTCTCTGATGCTCCCCTGTTTCTTTTTTTCCCCTTTTTGGTGGCCCTTTCCCTTCCAGGCGTTCAGTGCTCTCATGTTTCCTGATCCTTGGAGAGAAAAAAATGTGATAAACTATTTCACACTAAGGCGTTAACATCTAGAATCCTGGAATCTTAAAATCTTTTTGTTTTTTGGGGTTTTTTTGGTTAGGCAGTTGGGGTTAAGTGACTTACCCCAGGGTCACACAGCTAGTAAGTGTCAAGTCTTTGGTCTGAGGCCGGATTTGAACTCAGGTCTTCCTGACTTCAGGGCTGGTGCTGTATCCACTGTGCCACCTCGCTGCCACTTAGCTGCCCCCTGGAATCTTAAAATCTTTAGAGCTGGAAGGAACCTCAGAGATCAACTAGTTCATTTTGCAGCTGTGGGAATTGAGTGCCAGAGAAGGAAAGTGATTTCTACAAAGTCACACAGTGAGTTAGCTGTGGTAGAAGTGGCATCCCTCCTAGGGATGTTTGCATTTTAAACCGTCCATAGAACGAGGCTTGGCCAACTCCAGAAATGACCCAGAAATGATGGAATTGCAGGCATTGACGGGGAAAGACGTGTACATAGAGGACCTTCCCACTCTCTTAAGTCACCCCATGGCTACTTACTTGACAGACCAAAGCACTTACATCATATCTCCCTCCATCATTCTTCCCCAGGGGCAGGACCTTCCAGAATGCCAGAAGTGGCACTGCCTACGTTGGGGGCATCTGCTCCCAATCTAGGGGAGGCGGCGTCAATGAGGTAAGAGGCTATGGGGCTTGGGCAGGGACCAAGGATTGGTAGAGGAAGAAACAGTTAACAGTTAACAGGTCAGGAAGATTCTGGAGGCAGGCGGGGGCTTCTCTTGTTGTGGGGTTTGGGTTTGATCTCTGTCTCTCCATCACTCCTTCCAGTATGGCACTGTGGCATATGTGGCAGTGACATTGGCACAGACCCTGGGACAGAATCTGGGCATGATGTGGAACAAACATCGAAGTTCAGCAGGTAACCCCTTAAAGTCTTTTGAACCTTCCTTCCTGGACATCCTGTCCCTGACTGAGTCTCCAGCTCATGGAAATGATAGGAGAAGGGGGTGCTTTCCATCACATACCTATATACCAATAGGATTTAGAGCTGGAAGGGGCCTTCTACCCCACCCCTCTCATTTTACAAAGGAGGAAGCAGAGGCCCAGAGAGGTCATGTTCTTTACCCAAGGTCACACAGCTTTTAAGTAGCAGAATTAAAACCTAGGAGCCTTTTTTTTCCCACCACACTGCCCCTGGTCTCTGTGGTGGAAGAAGGCAGGCAGCTTAGGGGATGGGGTGGGAGAGGTGTAGGGGAGAGTCCTAGGCTACTAAGGGCAGGGACTTCTCTCAGAGCGTGCCCTGGATCTTCCTGCAGGCGAGTGCAAATGTCCAGATACCTGGCAGGGTTGTATGATGGAAGACACAGGGTGAGCTCTCTTTTTTATTGGGGGGGGAGGAAAGGTGGGGCCAGAGGAGGGGCACAAGATCCAGGTAGCTCCAGAAACAAGGCTGGGCTAGAAAGACCTGCAGCTGGACTGATGGCTTTGGGTGTGAGGTGGGGAGGGGGGGCTCTCCTGGAGCTCTGCCCAAATAGAATCTCCCTGCTCCAGAAGTCCCAGGAGCTCACTGACATGCAGTTCCCAGTGATGGCCACCAGATATTTCCCCAGGCCTGATTTAGACTAGAGCACACCTCTTTTCACTGTTACCTGGTCCCTATCCCCTGGTCCTGAGGAGAGGTCAGCTCCCGCCATGCCCCATGGTAGACCAGGTCTGGCTCCTGTGCTGCTAGGGAAGGTCAGCTTCCACCACACCTCATGGGGGTGGCCCTTGGGGAGGCAGGGACTGGGGGGCGGGGTGGGAACAGTCAGGGATACAGGCTGGACTTGAGCGCCCTCCTGCCCTTCAGGCATTACCTGCCCCAAAAGTTCTCGCGCTGTAGCGTGGAGGAATACAGCCAGTTTCTGCAGGAGGGAGGCGGCAGCTGCCTTTTCAACAAGCCCCTCAAGGTAGCTAAGCACGGCCCCTCCCACTCCAACCCTCTCCCCCATCTGCCCGCACCCAAATTGTAATGTCAACTCTGAAAGGGACCCTTGAAGCCCTGTGGCCCCACTTCCCCTTCTGTTGTAAAGGAGGAGCCCCCTCTCCACGCTCCTGCCCCAGGGGAGGTAGGTGGTGGGGCTAAGGCGTGGACAGGCCTCGGATTTGGGGCCCAGGGAACCCGTCCCTCTCGCGCCCCCCCCCCAGCTGGCACAGTGGTAGCCTAGGGAGCAGGGAGGCTACGCCCTTCACCCTTCGAGGGTGTTAGGGAGGGAGGGCAGGAGAGGGGTCCTGCTCTTCCCTCCCTGCAATCGCACCCTTCCGCAGCTGCTGGATCCCCCGGAGTGCGGAAACGGCTTCGTGGAGGCCGGGGAGGAGTGTGACTGCGGCTCGATACAGGTGAGGGTGCAGGCGGGGCAGCCAGGGAGAGGTTGGGCGCTGGCCGGGGTTTGAGCCCGGCGCTTGCTCGCCTCCTCTTCCCTTTCCTCCCCTCCTCTTCCCTCTCCTCTCCCAGGAGTGCAGCCGAGCCGGCGGGAACTGCTGCAAGAAATGCACGCTGACCCACGACGCCATGTGCAGCGATGGGCTGTGCTGTCGGGGGTGCAAGGTGAGGTGCAGCTGGGCCTCCGCGCTGTCCTGGGCTTAGAGGTTGCGTGTGGGCGGCCCTGGGGCGGGGCGAAAACTGAGAGTATGAAGTGGGAGGTTCTAGGGCGGAGCCTGGAGGGGGCGGGACCTGGCCCAGGAGGTGAAATGAGGGCGATCCTAGGGAAGGGCCGCATGGGGGCGGGGCCAAGAGCGGGCGAGGAGTAGCCATTGGAGCCCGGGAGAATGAATGGGGGCGGTCCTAGGGCGGTGCCTGGCTCGTGCAATAAGGAAGGCTGGGAGAATGAATGGAGGCAGTCCTCGGGTGAGCGGGGCCAGAGCCTAGGAAGGAGCGATTCATTGATTGCATGCTCTGAGAATGAATGGGCGCAGGGCTGAGAGGGGTGGGTGGTGGGACGATTTAGGGCTGGGCCTGTGCCTTTGGGAGGGAACAGGGAAGGGTTTCCTTAGTGTCTCCTCCTCCTGCCTCCTTCCTAGTACGAGCCAAGGGGAGTGTCCTGCCGAGAAGCTGTAAATGAATGTGACATAGCAGAGACCTGTACAGGGGACTCCAGCCAGGTCGGTCTAATGCTCCGGAGGGACTGCGCTGTCCTCCCATGTAATCTTAGCCCAACCTTCCCACACCCCACTGCTGGGACGGGAAGAGGGGTACAACGCATCCCTGACCTCAATTATTTCCAGTCCTCTCTCATTGGAAAGTTGGGGTCGGGCACCCAAACACTCACCTTTGTTTCTGCAGTGTCCCCCTAACCTGCACAAGCTGGATGGTTACTACTGTGAGCAGGAACAGGTAATGAATGACAAGGGGAGATCTTGGGAGGGGGCTTTTCATTATTCCCACCTTCCTCCCCAGTGCCATCCCTGGAAAAGTCTCAGGTTCAGTGCTATCTCTGTCTTTTTCTGTCTCTGCCTGTCTGTATCTCTGTGTCCCTATTTCTGGCCCTCTGTGTCTGTCTGTCTCTCTTTCTCTCAGGGTCGCTGCTATGGAGGACGCTGCAAAACCAGGGACAAGCAGTGCCGGGCACTCTGGGGCCACAGTGAGTCCTATGCATGCCACCACCCCAGCCCCAATCTCATTTCATGAATACAGACAAAAGCACAGCATGTGTTATGTAGTAGGAAGAGTTCTGGTTAGAAGTCAGGAAACCCGGGTTCTAATTTTTGACAAACCTTGGGTAAACCCTCCCCAGGCCTATCTGCAAAATGGTGGTGGTAGCCTCTAAAACTGTGTGTTGGACTAAATGGCCTCTATAATCCTAAGGTCTCATCCAACATTTACACATTATGGGTCTCTGGTTGTGGGGCCAACAAGGTGTGATTGAGGGTGTAGAAGGGGAATGTCTGGGTGAATGTCCATCTCACCTGGAGCCCTTCCTGAGGTCCCAGGGGCTCAAAGACCTAGTTGCATGTGCACATAGAGAGATGATCTACAACACAAGTTTTTAACCTAGGGTCCATGAACTTGGGGTTTTATTTTTTTAATATCTGTATTTCAAAGTAATTAGTTTCCTTGGTAATCCATCATATTTTGCTGTATACATTTTTTAAAACATTCTTCTAAGAAGGTCCATAGGCTTCAGCAGATTGCCAGGGGGGTCCATGACACAAAAGAAGTTAATTCCCAATTGTCAACCCTTTGAGGAAGGGCAGCAGTGCAGAGAGCTCGAGGCAAGCCGGGTGTTTTGTCTCCTGCAGATGCTGCTGACCGCTACTGCTATGAGCGACTGAACGTGGAAGGGACAGAACGAGGAAACTGTGGGCGGAAGGGCTCTGGCTGGGTCCAGTGTAGTAAGCAGTGAGTGGGTCCCCTTCCATGAGAAAGCCCTGGCCCTGGGCTCTTTGGTGAGGGAGACAGTTGGCTCTGGGCCGCCTCAAGAATTTTCTATTTAGGGCAAAGGCCCTGAGGTAAGAAAGAAGGAGAAACCAAGGCAAAAGAAGCTGAGAAGGAGGGAGAGATGGTGAGGAGCTATGAGGGGTACCTATCAGCCTCTACCTCCTGAATCCTCAGTTTCTTCATCTTTTCAGAATTATAGTTAGGATCAGGGTCATGGTTTGGGTTTCTGATGAGCCAGGGTTGGAGCTGAACTTGTCTGGAGGTGTTTCAGATCAGGAACCAATCATCAGAGTTAGAGTGTACTCATCTTTATTCTCTCCCCACCTCCCCACTAGGGATGTGCTCTGTGGATTTCTTCTTTGTGTTAATATTTCTGGTGGGCCTCGGCTAGGGGACCTAGGTGGGGACATCAGCAGCATCACCTTCTATCACCAGGGCAGGGAGCTTGATTGCAGGTACCCTGAGCCCTATCTCTTTATCTTATCAGCTGGGGGGGGATTAGAGGGGGGAGAAGGAAAAAACTAAGTGGGAGGGAGAGGCTGAGGGAACAAGGTTTTGATTGAGGGACAAAAAAATGGGGAAGTGAATGGAAGTCAGAGACTGAAGCAGAAGCTGCCTTTCCCTTTCAGGGGGGGCCATGTGGAACTAGCAGATGGCTCAGACCTGAGCTATGTGGAGGACGGCACTCCCTGTGGCCCCAACATGCTCTGCCTGGATCACCATTGCCTCCCGGCCTCAGCCTTCAACTTCAGCAGCTGCCCTGGCAGTGTGGGCCGCAGGATCTGCTCTGACCATGGGGTTGGTACTGGCCTTTCCAAGCCCAAACACTGGTCCTTCCATGAAATGGGTCAAAGCCAGTCTGTCTAGGGAGGGTGGGAAGAGGGATGAGGACAGGAAGGGGAGATGGTGACATCACACCTCACACAAAGGCCTTTCCTCTCCCTCCCAGGTTTGTAGCAATGAGGGGAAATGCATTTGTCAGCCAGACTGGACAGGCAAAGACTGCAGTGTCTACAACCCAATGCCCACATCTCCACCCACAGAAGAGACTGAGAGATACAAGGGTGAGCTTTGGGGATCTAGGAGTTGGAGTGAGAACTCCATCTTTCTTTTTTTTTAAGTTAAATTACATTTTTTCAGATATATTTCTCCTGCCTTCCCCTTGCCCCTCCCTCATTAACAACCACCCCCATAAGAAACATTCATAATCAAGCAAAACAAATTATCTCCTTGGCTATATCCAAAACATGTTTCTCATTCTGCACTCCATCACCTGTCAGGAGGTGGGTAGCATATTTCATCGTGTGTTTTCTGGAATTATGGCTATTCGTCGGATTGGTCAAAGTTCCTAAGTCTTTCAGAGTTCTTGTCTTTGCCGAGTTATTGTGTTCTTCTCACTTCACTCTGCATCAGTTCCTACAAGTTTTCCAAGGTCTTTCTGAAATCATCTCCATTGTTTCTTATGGCATAATTTCTTATAGTATATTCTATTACGTTCATTCAACGTAATTTGTTCAGCCATTCCCTAATTGATGGGCACCCCCCCACACACTTTTAGTTCTTTTGCCAGCTCAAAAACAGCTTCTATAAATATTTGAGTACTTGTGGGCCTTTTTCCTTTTCTTCTGATCTCTTTGGGATGTAGTTCTCAGCCGACATCTTTTTAATCATTCTTCACCTCTGTATTTTTGTGATTCCCCTCCTTCCTTCATCTGTTGATTCTTGTAGACGCGTTCTTTCTCCATTCTTTCTCTGCTCACTTCTAACCGAGGTCAAATTCCCTTTCACCAGGTCCCAGCGGCACCAATATCATCATCGGCTCCATCGCAGGGGCAGTGCTGGTTGCAGCCATCGTCCTGGGTGGCACTGGCTGGGGATTTAAGTAAGAGCTGCCCTTCCTCTCCCAGCTGATTTTACTGACCCAGGGGTGGTGGGGTCACCGTGTGGCTCCCACAGTGTAGGACTGCCTGGCCTCTGATGACCCTGGGCCAGCATTTGGGGAGAGGGAAGGGAACGCTGGTCCTGATGGGGCTAATCGAAGGCTGGCACAAGGAAGTACGTCCCTAAATGGACTCTGTCTCTCTGTCTCTGTCTCTCCTGTCTCCCTTTCCCCTCCCTTCTTCACTCCTGAAGAAACATCCGCCGAGGAAGGTATGACCCGACTCAGCAGGGGACAGTGTGATGACATCTCCACTTCCATTCCACCCGTATCTGCATCCGTCTTCGTCTCCATCTCCATCATCAGCTACCATCCTGATTTCTCCATTGGGCACAGACCTGAGCTCACTACTTGCCCCCTAGTTCCCTTTGTAGGGAGTCAGGCGCTAGGTTGGAGAGTGACAGGCACCAGTGCCCTCTATCATTCCAGCCTGCCTGCCTTGGATCCAGCCTGGCTATTGGCTTATCCACCTGCTTACTCATTGAAAGGGTCACTTTATTGGACCATCCTTTTCCACCACCAGCTCTCCACAGCCCCCACTACAGACCGAGGTCCCTAAAATATCCACTGGGTCTCCTCAGCCTCTGTCCTTCAGCAATAAATACCCACAGCACCAGTCCCCTGGGGATGGGGGAACACAGGCCCCACAATCCACCTGTCTCCCCATCCCGTCTGTTCATTTCTTCCATATTGTCTACTGTCTGACCTCCCCTGCTCCTCCTCCCTTCTAACCTTTCATGTGTTCTGTGACTTTCCCTTCACCCTCTATAGATTGTCATGGTGACAGACAGGTCGTACTTAGAGAGCAGATGTTCAGACATCTAGGGTGGTGGGTGGGGGAATCCGCTTCTCTGTGAGGGCCTTTGCGGGAAGAAGGCCCTAAATCCTATTTGCTTTAGCACCCTTCTTCACTTCACCATCTTGGGGGGGTGGGGTGGCTAGGGAGGGATTCTAAGCCGAGAGTCCCGCTTTCCCCCTGCTCGCCGGTCAGCTGTCTGGGTGTTTCTGTGCTCAGCTGGACTGAAGCCCGTCCCCTCTGTATGATGGTTCCCCTCACCCTCTCTGGTCCCTTGTTTCTCTTCCAGGTCAGGTGGGGCCTAAGCTCCTCTCCACCCCCTGCCTGGCGCTCACACTCACCACCTGGAAGGGGAAAGGACACACCTGCCCTCAATCCACCAACAGAGGAGCCATGCCATGTGGAAGTCTTCCTGGGGCCCGGCAATCAGACAGGTCCCCAAAAGAACATCTTGGTGGGATGGGTCCCTGGGATGGAAGGGCTGTGGCCCCAGCCCCTGCACTACCACTGAGAGTGAGTGGGGCTGGAGTGTTCGTCCTGCCCCCCTCCTCCACCTCATGCCCAGCTTTGCCTTGTGTGCACTCACCCCCTCCCCACGTGAATGTAGCTTCCATTATCACTGACTGTGCCCAGGCTGAGACCACAGGCCCGAGGGCATCAGTGAGGGAGGGGGACAGCCACCAGCTGACACTGCACTTTGGCCCTGGGGGCACCTTGGCTGACCCTGCCTGCAAGACTGGTTCAGTCAACAAAATGCCAGGTCCCAGGGCCTCCACACCCAGCCTTCCAGGGGTTCGGGGGATAACTGCTCTTTGCCCCATGCTCTGGCTTCCTCACTCTCCCAGTCAGAGCCTGGAGGTGGCTTAAGATGTCTGATTTTTTTTATTGAGACCTAAATAATGAATGTAACCACAAGGTTGGCAGGGACCAGGGTAGCTTTTAAGGGCATTCTGGTATTAAGGGGGAGAAGGAAGAGAAAAAAAGACATAGGGATTCCTCCTTCCCTTTGATGGGGTCAAAGTCATAACTACAGAACATACATTTTCCTCAAATCTAAGGCGGAGTTTGGGGAGCAGTCCTTACTTCTATCTATCCCCAGTCCAAACTGGAGCTCCCCAACCCAAAAAAACACAGGACAGGGCCTGAGTGTTGAATTTAAACCAAAGCTGCCTGCTTCTGTGGCGATGACCCCAGAATGTCAGCTAGGGCCAGGGACTGGACTGGCAATCCCAGGGAGGCATATGTCATGAGCTATTCCCTTATGGGCGGTTCTGGGACTAACTCAGGGTTTGAGTGCCCACTGGGGTGACCTTAGATGTTGTAGGCAGGCGAACCTCTTCCCTGGCCGTGGGGACTGGGTTCGAGGCATCCTGTGATTGGTGCTATGGTGGGTATCAGAATAATGGGGAAGGAAAGCACAGGTCCCCATAGCAATCTGCAATCCCAAGACAGGACTTCAAGACTCCATCTTCCCAGACACTCAACTTATACTCCCCTTCCTCCTTCCGCCCTGAACCCAAGGCCTGAGCAGTGTTTACATATGTTTTTGCTGCTGCCTCTCCACCCCCACCCTTTGAACCCAAAATGGGAGGCATCTCTCCATCTGGGGGGAGAGAAACCACCCATGGTTGGCTCTCCCCAGACAGTCACCCTGCCTCTGGGCTTCCTTTATGAACTTTGACCTGGAGCCGAAGAAACAAAACGAAGGGGGTGAGGGAACCTGTCCTCTCCCTCTCTCCTGGTTTAAATCTGTCTGGCCCGGGATGTGTGAGAAGGGAGACAAAAAGGCCTATGCTTCCCTTCTCCACAACCAACACCACTCCTTCCTGATGAAAGCTGCAGTTTTCAGCCCTTTCCACGTCTTCTATTAAGTCCAGGCTCCCTCAACTGGGGCAACTCTGGGGAGGAATCAGAGGGGGGTGGGCTGCATCCCCCTTCCCTCCCCAAACCTCACCTCAGGTGCTAGCTGGGGGGACCTGGGGCTGCTACATTTTGATTCCTTCTAAGTAGCTGTGGGAACGGTGGTGGCACCTGGCTGCAGTAACTGGTATGGCAGGGCCCTAGATGCTCCTAAGTTCTAGTTGGCTCTGCCCAAGGCAAGGTGTCTATGGGTGGGAACCCACTGACAAGCCCTGCGCTAAGCACACCTGCCCTGCTGCCTGGAGAAGTAAAAGCAGGTCTAGTGATGCCTTATGGAGTTCCCCTGGTGGGATTGTGTGCACATTTGTGTTGGCTTTGCCCCTCTGCACAAATGTAGCTCTGGGTGTGCCAGTGTGTGAGTGTGTGTGTGATTGGCTGTGTGCATGCACGTGTGCACTTGCACACTCGTGTGTATGGTGTCTATATGTGCCCACACTGGTTGGGGGAAGGGAGACAGAATGTCTACCACCTTTGTGTGACCAGTAAGCCTGATGCTCTCAGCCATCGGCATCCTCTCGCCCTGCTGCCTGCCCCCGTGGTCCCCCAGGCTGGGGCAGAAGCTGTAGATTCCCTGAGAGTGATGCCGTCTTCATGAAGCATTCTGTAAATACACCATTATGGGGGGAAGGGGAAGAGAGGGAAATAAAGATCACATCCTGGGGCTTCCATGGAGCTCACACTCACACTCTTGGTCTTGTTATTGACTTTGGCTCTTGATGTGATTTCTCAGCCTCTGTTCTTTCTTTCTTTTTTTTTTTTTTTTTTGGCAATTGGTGTTAAGTGACTTGCCCAGGATCACACAGCCAGTGTCAAGTGTTTGGTCTGAGGTCAGATTTGAACTCAGGTCCTCCTGACTTTAGGGCCGGTGCTCTATCCATTGCACCACCTAGCTGCCCCTTCTCAGCCTCTCTTGCTCATTGACTCTAGGTACCACGGTTATTCTTCCCCTCCAGTCCACTTCCAACGTGCTAGAGTTTATGAGCCTAGGGTGGGGACATGGATTCTCTCCTGGGAAGGGAGCTCATTTTTCATTTCATCGAGAAGGGAACAGGCACAAAGAAGGTGGATCAGATCTAGCCAAGAGAATCCTTCTTGTTCTTCACTGTCAAAAGTCTTCCTTGACTCATAGAAAACCCAACTCTTCTTCTCCCCAGCCCAGACTTTGGTAAGACACTCTTAAAGAGTCTATCTCATCTTAGAATTCATTTACACCTCAAGAGGGCAAAGGTGGATCCAGATCAGTTATCCCTTCCACACTGTGACTTTCTCCATCAAGGTTTCCATATATCACAGGTTGGCATAAGAAATTAAATGAGAATTTGGCGGGGGGGAGTTTTGTGGAAGCTGCAGACAACATGTGAAGGCCAGCAGATGACACAAAACCTATGACTAAATACTTAACACAGATTTTACAAAAATAACCCATAAAAGTAAAAGAAAAAATTGAGGCTTCTTCTCGGGTACAAAGGGAGGGTCAAAAAATTTTAGGCAGATTTTCCAGATGGCTGGGATGCCACGTCCCTAACCTCCACGATGTGAAAGAGATAACTATTTCTCCCTGGGCTTGGCATAAGAAAACACAGCCCAGACATCCAGACTGATCTGATACCTATCCTGAGCTATACATTCATTGCTCCCGCCATCACGTATGTAACCCAAAACACTAGGGAACACCTTAAGTTCCAAATGGCACACAAAATAGCAGGCTTAAATATTTGGTAAATCAAAATCATTCCAGACTAAGAGGGGACTTTGTTATAACTCATGGGATCATGGATTTGCAGCTAGAAGGGACATAAAGGACCAGCTGAATAAATAAGCATTTACTCAGAGCCTACTATGTGTCAGTAACTATGCTAGGTGAAGGGGATATAAATACAACAGTGAGACAGTCCCTGACCTCAGAGAGCTTACCTTCTAATAGAAGGGTACTTACACGGCAGCCAGGGAAGGGAGTTTTGTCCTAGTGAGGGACATCAAAAAAGTGTTGAACGTTGGAACCGTAGGACTACCTGTTCTCATACTCTTTCCAGAAGCACCTGAAATATTCATTCAATTACCATTCCTTAAGAGAGATGGAAAACAGGGGTGGAGTAATACAGATGGCAAGATGTCTAATGAGGATGAAGGCATGGTCCAGGCCTGGCATATAGTAGGTTAGGTGAATTTGCACCTGTTCACCCTATCAGAAAAGAGCAGCTCCAGGGAAAGAGGCATGGTCTGCTCCCAGTGGATCTAGGGTAGCAGTGGGTAGATAACAAGGCGTCCCAGTGAATGTATGTGCTCAACCCCCTCAGTTTTTGTAGATAAGGAAACTGAAGTCCAGAAAGATTGATGGTCACATAGGAAATAAGTGAATTTAAACCCAGGTCCTCTGACTCAAAATCTAGTGCTGTTTTCATTGTACATACTTCTCTGTTCGAATTGGACTGGACGTGTAATCAAGAAAGATCAGAGTTTGAATCTTTGCTGCGACAGTTTTGTTGAGTTGTTTCACTTGTGTCCAACTCTCTGGAGTTTTCTTGGCAGAGATACTGCAGTGGTTTGCCATTTCCTTCTCCAGCTCATTTGACAGATGAGGAAACTGAAGCAAACAGGATTAATTAAGTAACTTGCCCAGGGTCACACAGCTAGTAAGGGTCTGAGGCCAGATTTGAACTCAGAAGATGAGTCTCCCTGACTCCAGGTTGGTGCTCTATCCACTGTACCACTAGCTGCCAGAGTGATAGCTACCAAACTCTAAAGCACCATAGAAACCTAAGTGAGTAATATCCTTTACAAAATACTTGACTCATGACAACCTTATGGGGTACGTGGTGCAAGTGTTATCTCCCTCATTTCTCAGATGTGGAAAATGTGCCTCGCAGAGTGATTTGTCCATGACCACAAAGCTAGTAAATGCCAGAGCCAGGACTCCAAGAGAACTCTTCCAAGTCCAAGCCCTCTTCCTCATGCCAGGCTGGGTTCCAGGAAAGGCAATGGGAGTAAGCAGCTTGGTGACAAGGCAGTAAGCATTTATTTGGCACTTACTAAGTGCCAGGAATGGTGTTAAGTGCTAGGGATACAAATGCATGAAAAAAAAAAAAGGACAGTCCCTGCCCTCATGGAGCTTCCACCCTATGAGGTGAAGACATCACAGAAAATGAAACTGAAAATGGGGGCGGGAGTTGGGGGAGAAGGTGCCAACTTGGGGACGACGGTGTTGAGGTCTGGAAAGTCAGAAGCACCGCCAAGAGGAGAATGAAGGTTAGCTGACCTGGGATCTTCCCCCAAACGGAGGTTCCTGGGGAGGAACCCACCAATGGGAGAAGAGGACCAATACGGTAGAGGGATGTTTCAGAGTGAGAAGGCTCCGGGATACAGTGGTTTCCAATGAATGACTGAAAAAGTATTCATAAGTGCTTGTTGTTCAGATGTGCCCAAACCCATTTGGAGTTTTCTTGGCAAAGACACTGAAGTGATTGGCTATTTCCTTCTCCAGTTCGATTTACAGATGAGGAAACTGAGGCAAATAAGGTTAAGCCATTTACCTAGGGTCACATAGTAAGTGTCTGAGGCTGAATTTGAACTCAGATCTTCCTGACTCCAGGCCTGGCACTTTATCCACTTTGTCATCTAGCTGCGCCCTGCCCCTCCCCTCCTATCCCCCTACCCCACCCACACTGGGGACTACCTCCCTTCCAGAAGCAGTAACTGAGTTAATTTGATCATAATTTCAAAACTGGAAAAGAGGAGGAAAGGAACAAAGATAGCCTGGGAGAAGGGAGTGAGTGCTGCTGGGGTCAATCACCAGTGAGTTTGACTGGACATCAGGGTAGAAGTTTTAGAGAGAAATGTCTCAAAAACCCCAAGGCATGGTCTGTGGTCAGCAAGGCAGGTGGTAAGAAGACAGCAGGAACGTAGGAAGTCTAGTTCAATGGGCAGAAATAGGTAGGCTGGTAAAGACAGAGAACAGTGGAAAGTCCTGAAGCAACTCTATTTACAATGGTGGGGAAGGGGAAGGGAACAAATATTTATTAAGTGCCAGACACTTAGGGGCAGCTATGTGTCACTGTGGCTATAGCTCCAGGCCTGGAATCAGGAAAACCTGAGTTCAAACCCAGCTTCAGATATTTACTAGTTGTATGACCCTGGGCAAGTCACTTAACCCTATTTGCCTTGGTTTCCTCATCTGTCAAATGAACTGGAGAAGGAAATGGCAAACCACTTCGGTATCTTTGCCAAGAAAACCCCAAATGGGGTCACAAAGAGTCGGCCACAACTGAAAAAAATACTCAACAGCACAACATGCTTTCTGTACTAAGGCATAAAAAGGACCAATTTTGCTCAGTATGAATACTTAGGCATAACACTAGTGGAGGACTCAGGGAGCAGATTTTGGTTTCAACTACTCTCTACCTCTACTGAGAAAAGCTCTGTAACTATGGTAACGTACTCCTAAATTCTGGGAGGCTGGAACAGGACACCAGACTCTAGGCAATCTCCACAGGAAAATGACCCTCTTGCTCTTCCTTAACTGATTCTCTATCCCACTCTCTGTGCAAGCTGTACCAAGTCTTCTCTCTTCCCATCTCCCACATCAGCCTCTCCTTCCTTCCCCCCTCCCTCCCTCTCCTCTGAGGGCTTTGCTTCATATTTTACTGAGAAAAGAGACCAATCTTAGGGAGCTCCCTCTTCTTCCATTCTCTATATCTCAACCCCCCTTTACATCATCTCTCATCGCTTTTACTCTAGTCTCTGATGAAGACAAGACCCTTCTTGCCAAGGACAATTCCCTTGCATGTACCTTCTATCCCATTTTCTCCCACTTTTCCAACAGATTGCCAATCTCCCCCCCATCATCCATTCTCTCCCCAATCTTGTTTTTTCCTATTTATCCATTCTTGCCGTAATCCCTATAAATACGTCCAAGTCTGTCCCATCACGGGAAAAACAACAAAAAACCTTACTACATCCTCTCAAAGCCATCTTTCTCTACCTCCCCTCCAACCTGGCCAAACTCCTTGAAAAAAGTACTTTACCCTCACTGATTCCATTTCTCTCACTCACTACTCAGCCCTTTGCAGTGTGGTTTCCAACCTCACTGTTCACCTGAAAAGGCCTCTACAGTGACCACAACTGCCATATCCGATGGCCTTTTCTCAGTTCTCATCCTTCTCAACCTCTCTGCAGCACACAACAACAGGTGACCGTCTCTCCTCCTGGTTACCCTCTTCATGGCACTACCCTCTCTGACAGCTCCTTCTCAGTCTCCTTTGATAGGGGACATGACATGAAGGATAAATGGTGCCCCAAGGCTCGGACCTGACCCTCATCTCTTTTCTCTGTGAGCTCTGAGTGATTTTTTCAGCTTTCATGGGTTTCATTATTATCTCTGCATGGGACTTTCCAATCTATACAATCAATCCAGCCTTCTCTCAATCAAGATGCATTTATTAAGTGCCTACTTATGGGCCCACTAATAATGCACAATGTTGGTAAAGGAGTGAACTGGTCCAATTGTCATGGAAAACAATTAGGAATTGTTCAGAGAAAGTGACTAAAATGTTCATATTGTTATACCCAGTGATTCCACTGGGAGGTATGTGCTGCCCCAAGAGGGCAAGGATAAAAAAGAAAGCTCCATATACTCCAAAATATTTACAGCAGTACTTTTATAATAGCACAAAGCTAGAAACAAAGGCC